AATAGAACTTCTAAGTACCATTATTTGTATTTATTTTCATTTGGGGGTAGAAGGTAGTATTATTAAAGCGTTTTGGAAGAATTCAACAAAAATGCAAAACTGTCAATCATAAAAAAAGAATAAAAAATGTGTGTAAGGAACTTGACCAAAAATGCTACCCCTTCTACCCCCGTGGCATTTTTTCTCTTTTATTACCACTACAGTTTGTTTAGTATTAGAAATGCTTAAAGAAGTATACTACACCCATGCTACACCCATGCTACCCCTTCTACCCCCGTGACGTTTTGTGTCTTTTATTACAGTCTAGATCAGCTGTAGTTGTAAAATATTGGGAAGGTTTACGCTACCCCATGCTGTGCCAATGGAACACCTTCTACCCCCGTCATTTCAGTTGGTAGTGATTATACTATCTAGACTGCTTCTAATATCAAAAAAAATCATAAGACAGATGCTACCCCGCAAATTTTATGACACTGCATTTATAAATAGGATCGCAAACCCTGCTCTAATATCTCTTTGGAATAACATTTCAATAATATACCATGCGATTTGCGCTCTTGGATAAATGGTTTTACAATCAGGCTGAAGGCTTTCATCGACATGGTTTTATGATGTTGGGCGTTACAAAACTCTATGAAATTACAAAATAACTGTTTCATAGGCATTTCATAGACATTTCTATCATCCAACTCTGTCAATCTCTCCAAGCAGTCGATTAAAAACTTGATCGGAGTTGCAGCTTGAAGTTGCTTCAGCTCTTGTTTGTATGAGGTTTGTGGTGTGTCTTGTGAATGCCAACCATCATCGATCGTTACATGTTTCACCAACCAATGAAAGATATGCTTACTGGCGTTGATGTTATCTAATGTTGCCCAGTATCTGTTGAAATATGATCTATTGCCAATCATCATATTATTTGTTTCAAGGCATAGCGACTGACGATCAGATTCTTCGATAAAGCTGGCGAAATCATTATTTGAGACTACGATGTAATTGCAGGATTCACTAAGAGTAACTGGCTCTTTTCCCTTTCATTCAATTTGAACCTCGTCAGCTGTAATCAAGTTCTTGAACTTGTTCATCACCGCACGATCAGAGTTATCTACTGCTTCATCTAGAACGCACATAATCATCGACTGACGAATGGAGTTGAAACGACC